GGGATCCTTGGAGGATATTTCGGGATCCTTGGAGGGTATTTTGGGATCCTTGGAGGATATTTCGGGATCCTTGGAGGGTATTTTGGGATCCTTGGGGGATATTTTGGGATCCTTGGAGGATATTTTGGGATCCTTGGGGGATATTTTGGGATGCTTTGGGGGCGATCTGGGATCCCCTGTGAGCTCCCCCCCCCCCCGAACCCACCTTTCCGTACAGCACCGCGAGGGCGCCGCCATGTTCGCCATGCGGGCCGCCATGTTTGCCACGCGGGCCGCCATGCCGCCGTACGGCGTGACGTCACTTCCCGTTCCGCCGGAAGCGGCTCCGCCTCTTTCTGCCCGCGCCGGCCTGAGGGGACGGACGGCTCCGGGCCGAGGCCTCCGCGCATCCGCCGCCATCCCGCCTTCCCCGCCGGGCCCCGCCGCCATCCGCCGCCGCCATGACGGAGCAGATGACCCTGCGCGGGACCCTGAAGGGCCACAACGGCTGGGTGACCCAGATCGCCACCACGCCGCAGTTCCCCGACATGATCCTGTCCGCCTCGCGCGGTGCGCGGCCTCCGGGGACACCGGGGAGGGCCGGGCGGGGAGAGCGGCGGGAGGCGCTGGGGGAGCCTTTGGAGGGGACCCGCAGGGGTTTGGGGGGGCTCGGCTGACAGAGCTGGGGGTGTTCCCCATGGCCAGTCTGGATTTGGGGCTGGGACCCCCCAAAATTAAACTTTGGAGAGGTTTGGGGCAGCAGGAGCTGACAGAGCTGGGGGTGTTCCCCATGGCCAGTCTGGATTTGGGGCTGGGATCCCCAAATTTCAATTTTGGAGGAATTTAGGGCAGCAGGAGCTGACAGAGCTGGGGTTGTTCCAGTTTGGGTTTGGGTCAGGACCCCCAAATTTCAATTTTGGGGCAGAGGAGCTGAGCGAGGCCGAGGAAGCAGCACCATCATCCCCCCCCCATTTTTTGGGATTTTTCCCTCTGTGCGTCCCCGCCCTCCCGGCGGTGCCCGGGGGTCTCTGGGGTGACCCCCACGCGTGTCCCCACCCCAGACAAGACCATCATCATGTGGAAGCTGACCCGTGACGAGACCAACTACGGCATCCCGCAGCGGGCCCTGCGCGGCCACTCGCACTTCGTGAGCGACGTGGTGATCTCGTCGGACGGGCAGTTCGCCCTCTCGGGCTCGTGGGACGGGACCCTGCGCCTCTGGGACCTCACCACGTCAGTCTGGGGGGATTTGGGGGG